CCTATTATGTCGCCACTTTTACTCACTGACATTAGTAAATGGTGTAAAGTGTGAGGACAATGGTGAAGGGATTCTGTTGATGGCTAAGAACGCAACATTGTAAAACTGGTTAGTTGAGCGAATGTACAAGTCTTAGACTTCACACAATGCAGTCACAAATGAAAACTGAGGAGAGGGCATTACCTGTCTAATGTCCTTATGAATCATAGCTGTGCATCATACAACGGAGCACACTCGTACTTCACGACAATATAGGGCTTGTATGGAGGAAATTTTACACGAGCAAGCGATGTCAGTTAGAAGTATGTAGCCATCATCCGTTGTCCTACTGCGTCACATTCACTAGGTCATCCCTGCTTGTCTCCTGCTTTTTCTACCATCCCTATGTTCACCATTTCTTTAAGTCAAAGATTTTTTTTTACTTGGTCTGGAGTGTGGGACTAAAAGTGATACCAACAGATTTACCACTACAGATGGCTAACTCCAATTAGCCATTGACCACGCAACTGTTATGGCACAATAGCAAGTAAACACTCGTTACAAGGAGCTGCCTTGACTAGACTCTGCCGTATCATTCACCATGAAAGCATCAGACGTTCCATGAAAGGTGAATATGGGCTCCTGTGTTGCCTTTCAGTATTGGTCAGGTCGCCAACAGAACCAGAAATGTATTATATATACACGTAATTTTTATTACCAGAAGAATTAGTTCTGTGGGTGTGATTACTGTACATCTCATCACATAATGACTCTTTGTTTTCTTTCTGCTTACTGCTGCTAGAGCGATTACGTTGCCCTTGCCAAGGAGAACAACATCCATCGTCATGTGTAGCTACTGTGCAGATTTTAAGGGGTGAGTCTGCATCCAAGCCAAGCTGCATTCACTACGGCTGGCACCGTCTTTTGAAGGACCTGTACAAATTTTATAAGGAACTTTTTTTGGTAAAGACTTAGGGACAAAAGCTTTCACAACTTAGACTAGATTAATTCTACTTCTCAGGGAAAGAATAAAATGCAACAAAATCACACAAATTTTGATTCGAAGTTACTTGGACACTGTCGACACAGCAGTATGCTGTCAATGAAGGTCTTCCATGTATAGATGATGCCAGCAATATACCTTCGTAGGGGCAAATTTTCAAGGTTTTGATACACTTTTCTTTGTGTTTCAGAAAGTACATGGCAGTGGGATTTAGGTCGAGGACACACAGAGCACGGGGAGAGGTAGTGTTGTACTTGGAGTTGTGTGTAGGGCATTGCCAAGAGACCTGGTTATATGCGATTGCGAGTTCGGGTTTTGGCTCGGTGCTGGCCTTGACCATCAGGAGTGGAGAGGGTCCTAGGCTCCAAACCACGAATGTGTGGCCATGGTCAGCAGCACATACCAGTGACAAAGCCTTGTGGGGGTGATCTCATTAGTTCAGAACCACAAGTGCTGCTCTCCTGGTATCCTTTATAAACTCGTGATGCAGAGAGAGAAGTTGCGGTAGATGCTCTGCTGCGAAACAGCTGTCCAGAGCTCCGCATCTCTTTTTCTCTTGGCATCTAATACCTTCATATGAAAGTATCCTCGCTTTTGTAGAGTGAGTCGAGGAACGAGGGTTTTATGTATTCATACGTAACTTACAGAGCCCTTCAAGGTAGCATGTTATCACTGCATTGTGCAAAGAGAACACTGGACATGGTATATATGGTAGTGTAGGAGTCTAACAGTTGTGTACAGAAACTGCACAGTTCATGTCCGGCTGCAACACTGCATTATGCCCAGTGATCTAGTCACCACATTGTCAGGCCATTGGCAGTTCTAGGACCATGCAAGGGATCCTAGTTATTGTAATGTCCGACATAATTCTAAACTCACGTATGCACCTACGTTTCTGCATGCACCAGCAACTCTAGCGTTCACTTGATGTAAGGCGAACAGTGCCACAAGTAGCTTTATTATGTCAATATAATATATATCCAAAAGCCATTTAACAGTACTCTTTGTGAGTGACTGGTTTACTCACAATGATTCCTGTTTTCTTTGTGAAGGTTGATCTTCTCACATCTCCTCTGGGGAGCGCTGCTGAAGATGGTTACACAGAGATTGTGGAGAAACTGATATCAGCTGGAGCTGTCATCAACTACCAGAACAAGGTATGAGAACTTCAGCCAATTAGAGAGCCTCTCCTCTATTCTCTCTCTTCTGGTTTCCAAAAATTATTGCAAGTAACTTCTGCCTTTTAAAACTAGGGGGTCAAAGGTCTGTCAGAGTTTTGTGTGCGGGTGGTCAACAAGGCAACAAATTACATACATGTTTGTGTTACTCTCATTGTCTTTTTTTATAGTCTGATATCTGATTGTTTAATCAGAGGATTGCTATTGTCCTTACACTATTCCTATGAAAAACGACTAATAGAAATCCTTCCCCACCGACCATACATAGCACTTTAGTCTATTTGGGTTCACCTGAGTCAGCAAGTGTCTTTTTTATAATGTTGATACAAGTACCATATCCTTTTTAGGCACACTTTTCTTGTGGGACATAATATAGCTAACTTTTGACAGATAATCCTTGCCAGAATGTCAGTAGACAGTCTAATATAGGGATTGCACTCTCACGTGATCCGCGTACAAAATGCCTCCAAACTGTAGTTAAAATCCTTTACACTAAAAAGAAACATTTACACATCTTCAGTATTAGTCAATGCTTGCACTGTTGTTAATATCATGTGTTGCTCTGAGATGGCTTCCATCTGTCAGTAGAAATTCATTGTTACATGTGTAACTACATAACTACATAAGCTACATGAGTCTGACCACCAGCCACACTGTGTCACTGACCTCCTGGTTGTCGTGATCACCCGGGCGAAACTCCACTGGGTACACAAATCCTGGTTCGGTGTGTTCCAGGATTGCCACTTGTTTACCAGCGTAGATAAGTGCAGGTTCAGATGTGGTATTGATGATTCTCACTGGGACCTCTTCTGAAATGGGGCAGACCAGGGCACTGGCTGCAATCACACCGACAGGCTTCTGGAGATTATTTTCGAGTGTCCAAGTTTGGCCTGGTGTTACTAGATCCTCCAGATTGGTCATCACCTCTAGCTCACTGTAGGCTGGAACTGAAATATTCCTTTGTACTTTCACTTTAATGTACACCGTACAAGTTGGTAACTGGGTAGATTGTTGCAAAAGTAGGGTAATTCCCTCAGCCCGTAAGAGTAACTCCTCAGTTTTTAGTTTGGTGGAGGCTCTCTGGCCCTCAAGGAAGTCCAGCCCTAGTATTCTTTCTGTGGTGAGAGGACTAACAATAGCCACATCTATGGGTATGTCGTTTCCGTTGAGCTGTAGGGTCAGCAACGTGGGTCTTGAGAACGGAGCCGTCTGCAACCACCAACTCCCAACTTTGGTTGGGTATCAGGTCGGGAGCCTTGATGGGGGAGTTTGAGGATCCTCTCCCATGCTTCTTTCCGGAGCAGGGTGACTACTGCCCCTGTGTCCAGCAAAAACGTGAGGTCGACGTCACTCTTTCGGCCGGAGAGCTTGTATCCTCCTACAAGGGAGACAGGACATAGATTTACTGTACTAGAATGAGCCGTTTCTATGGGTCCCTCCGGCTGTAATTACAGGCTGAAAATTGATATATTATGCAGACTCTCTGAGACATAATTAAGATACCAACAGGGGAGCACTTCATTGGCTGAAACCTCTCTATTTCCGGCAACATCTGAACTGTTTCGTTAATCAGTCAGAGAGCCAGTGGAGTCACTACACCAACTCACTGCTCCACCTGTCACCATAAACAGATCTTTGTGCTCCATCATGTGCTTGTCACATGTCATTTCTTTGTATGGTGTATTATGGAGATGGATGTTTAATGTTTTCTATCTTCCTCTCTTTAGGATGGAGCAACTCCACTCATTATGGCCAGTTACAAAGGGCACCTGGAAGTAGTTAGACTCCTGCTAGAATCTGGAGCTAAAGATCTACCTTATAAGGTACCCACTTTTAATACTCACATCTTTGTTGTGTGCTGAACATAATATTAGAGGGATTGTCATGTGGTTGTGTGTGACTCTGCTGTGTGCCTACCCAGCATGGCCACGCCCATCAATTAGCAGTGCTGTCTCTCGGCACATGTGTAGAGTGCACCTACTGCAGGCTAGACTGCTGACGTCAGCACCCATTTGCATTGAGGGTTTAGTGCTGCAATAATGTGTGACTGTCTCTCATTTAGTCAATGAGTGTAATTTTCCCTCACCTCTCAGGATGGACGTACAGCCATGAGTTTCGCAAGAGCCAAAGGTCATCAGCAAATAGTCCAACTTCTACAGCAGTACAAAGTTTAAACTACGTCTCTCGACTCTGCTTCTTCTAACACTGTGGCCTAGTTCTATAGCTACTACATATAGGTTATCAGCAACTTGTCTCTTATAGGAGTAGCTACAAAATTTAAAGGAAATAACACTCTAATTAACACTGTAGCTTATTTCTTTACTATACTACAAACCAGACTTACTAAATTGTCCATTACCTCCTTTTTACAGCTTTTAAATACTGTTTTGTTGCTGATTTTTGTAGTTAGTATACAAACTGTGCTCTATGGTTTCGATTTTACTACACCATGATATCTGCATGCTAGATGCACTTGCCACAGAGGTAGATGCTCATGTAAATTAACTATTTACGTGCATGTGCAAGTACTGTTACAGTGTGTGTGTGTGTGTGTGTTGAGTATTGGGTGAAGGATGAGTTTGGGAGGCATGTGCCAACCTCACCGCATATGGCTGCCTAGTGGTCCGAAGTGTATGCGTCACTGTTGACACACCTCTGACCCACCTCTTTCTATTAGGAGAAGTGTATTATTGGGCCATTATTTTACTCTTAGGGTTTTTGTGTGACTAACTTGTAGTAATAGTAGGGGACGTAATAATTATATAGTACACAGCTAAGCAAGGGGCTAACGTTAGAGGGGAACAGATTACATGTGTATACTACACATACAAGCTGAAGAATAAGACACATGCAGATGCCAAGCGTTGAGAGCTGGGGGTGGTGGGTTAAAAGATCTTTGTATGGCACCCCAACTCTCCCAATGTTACAGACTCTTATGCAAAATCTACCACTTACAGAATTGTATTGACAATGACTTACCTTAGGCTCTCTGGGGGAATGCTTCTACAAAGCACAGTGGGGTATTTAGGGGGGATGTCATAGGTATGGATCCTAAGGGGGAAGTAGGTCTTGGGTCCAGTTTTACGTGGTTAGAATCACAAGTGTAACACTGATGCTGTGTTATGTGTGTGTACGCACGTGTCAGTATGTAACTGCTATGCTTGCACTATAGGCTACGAGGTGGCAACAGGGCCATCTGTCACCATGAGCAGATCTGTGTGTCCCAATGCTAATACAACCACCATGTAAATTAAATCTTGACGCGCATGTGCAAGAACTGTTACAGTGTGTGTGTTGGGTATTGGGTATTGGGGGAAGGATAGTCGTGGAGTTTGGGAGGCGTGTGCCAACCTCACCGCATAGAACTGCCTAGTAGTCCGAAGTGTATGTGTCGTTAACTGTTGACACACCTCTGACCCACCTCTTTCTACTAGGAGAAGTATAATTATTGGGCCCATAATCTACTCTTAGGGTTTCTGTGCGACGAAGTTGCAGAAATAGTAGTATCGTACCTACGCAAGGTGCATATGTTAGAGAAGACACAGATGCCCAGCTTTGAGAGCTGTGTTTTGGTGAGCTGCTCTCAGCGCCTTGTGAAACCGTGAATGGGGAAAATGTTCTAAGTTTTTAGCATGATAATTATATACTAGTTCCAATATTCCTCTGGACCAGCATACAGGAGTTTATATTTCCAATTAGTACGTATAGGTTAGAATATGTAGTGATTACTCGGCATTTTACGTTGAGACATTTCAAAACTAACGGAGCGACTGATTCATCAAGGATACAGATACTCTGATTGTGCAGGTCCTTTTATAAGTTTGCTAAAAAGCACGCACAATTATGATTAATATAGCTACGGCACTACGCAACATGTGGAGGATGGTATTGTCTGCCAGCAATGGATAGATTCCTCAGTCGCCATGTGTCGCATAGATATATGATATTTATAGTCACATATTTATTTGAATATAACTATTTTTAACATTTCTATTTCTACACCATTTCTACTATTATATATTATTTATATTTTTCTTACACGTGTATATGCTGTGGGGCGTTATTGTAAGTAATCGACAGACTATAATCTTATTTTAGCAGTTCTATTTTTTTCTATTTTTCTACACGTGTATATGCTGTGCGTTATTTAGAATAATCGCACGTTTTTTATGTCTCCGTCGTGTCGTCGTGCTGCGTGAGTTTCAGAGTTTTTATATTTTTCTATGAGTTTATTGGTCCTTTGAGGCTTTCTATTTTTCTACCGGCTGTTGTTTTTATCCTGTAGCTGTCGTTTTTTGTACATGATTTCTATCTATTTATTTTATAACTATGTGTAGGGAGGTTGGGACACTGGGTGTGTAGGGAGAGTTGGGCCCATAAAAGACTCTTTAACCTACCGCCCCGGTTCTCAAGGCTGGGCACCCAGGGTCCTGCCTCTTTCTTTCTGTTTATATGTTATTGTCTGTGTTTTTGTACGCTTGGGGTATGTTATTGTCTGTGTTTTGTGTGCTTGGGTGGGGGAGGTTCTTTCTTTTCCTCTGAGCTAGTATGCTATAAACATGTTTTTTCATGGATGCAGCTTATGATAGGAATGTTCCTCCACTTATAAACAGACGTACAGGATGGATGGACAGACAGACCAAAACCCTTCGCTGCGCACGCGTGCTGAAGGTGAATAATACCAGTGGAAACACACTAAATCTATGGCAGCAATAATTAGTGTCGAAGGTAGTCATTAACAACACATTTGAAGACACAGGGAAGGATGCGGTAACGAAGTGCAACTTCCATTCCAGAAAACCTGAAGATCAGGTAGCCCAGTAGCCCCAGAGAGGCAAGGGACAGGCCCCACAGCCCTCGTCTGATGACCGTCTGTTGAACGCTGTGTCTCTCCACCACACGGCGGTGGGGGATACGTGTGAAGGCCACCATTGAATAGAAAGGGATAAAGAGAGACGGGAAGAGATAGTGGAGGGCATTGTCAATCCTTTTCCTGATTAAGAACAGGGGCGAGGTGACGTGGGAGCGCATCTCGATGTAGTTGTACATGGAGAGGTCGCAGATGGCGTGTGTCACTCCAGTCGTTGTCCTGGTACAGCTGAGCTGCTGCTGCCAGCTCCCCTCCAGGCACTCTGTCAATACGAGACAGTCTTTGAAACCGGCATTCATCCCCTGCCCGTACGGCATCCCTGAAAAGGAGATCCATTAATCGAACACAAACAATAAAAATTAACCGTCGGCGCGCATGCGCAGCGAGGGTTATGGTCCGTAAGTTGTCTGACTGTCTGTCTGTTACCACGTTTTCTACCACCACGCGCAACGAGACAACGAAAGAGCGATACCAAAAGGTTCAGCGCTATACCGGCTTGATTTAAATTCGCCGATTTTCGTAAAATGACAGTTATGGCGTGAAAATCAAGTTACAAGCGAATATGCTAATTGGTATTCGCTTACCTCTAGGATCTAGGAAGCGATGAATAAACGCATGCGTGTGCGCGCCTCTCTGAGGCCCTACCTGCGCAAGCGCAAGTGTTTATTTCAACCCCCAGTTATCATCATAATAATTATGCTGGATCCGCCTCTGGCACTCGTACATTCCGCGCGTTGTATGCAGAGGGGGCTGACCGGTAGCGAGCGATAGACGCCTGAAGAAGGTATGTCCGCAGTGTGACACAACAGTACATGCTAGATGGGCTGTTTGCGTATGTGGGCATACCTTTCCGTCAAAAAGAAAAGCGTAGTGTATTGCCAAAAAGGAAGCGATGAAACGTCAAAGAACTTTAGAGACTGAACAAGAAAAAATTTGCGAGAACAGAGCAAGACAGGCTACGTAAACAGAGCACAAGGGCAGCTGAAACATACGCTCAAATTTCAGCCCCGAAGATAGACTGCATAAAGAAACCACAAGAGCCTCTGAAACAATTGAGCAGACGTTGCATAGGCATGAACGTGACAGACTGCATAAAGAAACCACAAGCGTGCCTCTGAAACAATTGAGCAGACGTTGCACAGACTAGAGCAAAGTAAAATCCTCATGGCAAGTTTGAGGGCCGCAGAAACACCTGACAAAAGTTCACGTAGGAAAGAAACCTTTAAAGAATGTAAAAGTAGGCGAAAGCGAGGTTTGTCTGTTGAAAACTGTATTGCAGCATTTCACTCAGAGATACAAAGTGGCCCTGATTATGTGTGTATGTGTTGCCATCGTATGATGCATAGAAAGAGTGTTGTCCAGTGTAGAAAATCTAAATATGCCAAAGTCAGTCCTGATGTACTTCAATTGTTTAGTGCTTATTTTAGCTACATTAGCAATGATGGTAAAACATGGGTATGCAAGACATGTGATAGATCTTTGGTGAGAGGTTCCATGCCTCTGCAAGCAAAGGCTAATGAGTTACAGTTGTGTGATATACCACCTGAACTTTCTGGCCTAAATGCACTGGAATTGAGGTTGATTTCCCTGCGTGTGCCGTTCATGAAAATGGTAGCATTGCCATCTTGTAAACAAAGGTCAATCCATGGTCCAGCAGTGAATGTACCATCGAAGGTTGATACCATTTGTGATGTGTTGCTACGTTTGCCTTCCCAGTCTGAGCTAGTTCCACTAAAACTGAAACGTAAAGTAGCATACCAAGGCCATTACATGTATGATTACATAAGACCTCAGAAATTCCTCGATGCGTTGAGATTTTTGAAGGCTAACAATCCCCTGTATGCTGACATTGATGTTAATGAACAGTGGATTGAAGATGCTATGACAAATGATGAAGAGCTTTGCGGTATTTAGTTGAGCAGGATGACGACAGCATGGATACTAAATGTAGGCAGCTTGAAATGATAGCAGTGTTCCTTCAAATGGTGGGGAAGGTGAGCCAATGGAGTGTATATACCAATGGTGATGAGTTTCAATATCCTTACAGCAGCTGAAAGCATTGGCCCATCAAAACAGTTTCCATTCATAATTTACCGTATGATTGCAATTGCATGTTCAGTGCTATGTCATATCAGCTACAGAACACTAGTGTTTGCAATGCTGACAGTAGTGAATTGAGGCAAAAGGTAGCTGACCATTTGGAAGCAAATGCAGCATTGTATCATGATTTCCTGTGCCAACCAGTACCCTCTGAGGATAATGACTATAATGCAGACACAGAGCAGCCTACTGCTGAAGATGAGTACATAGAGCAGTGTAGCGGATCTAAAATTGCAAACTGAACTTAGATGGCACCTGTTTGTGGTTCCAGTGTACAACAGAGTATACAAAATACTGAGAATACCCCAATATAAGATGAAAGCCTAGATGATGCAACAGTGGAAGAGGGAGATGAGCATAGAAGGGAGATCAGTGGTGCACCTATGACCAGAATGGTGTGTGTTGAAAATCCTGAGAGTTGCAGCGAAATCATTGTGTAGCACCAGCCCAGGGAAAGAAACCACTCAATAATTATCATGACAGACTCTAACTTTGAAGCCATGTCTAATCCTGATAAGTTCCCCTTAGCTAAAGGCACATTTAGCAGCGAAAGGCCTAAAAAACTAACCTACAGAAAATATTTTAATCAGAGACTGTTGGATTTTGATGCAGATTTGCTACACACTGATTATCTATTTGTTGGCCAGTACATTGTAGAAGCCAAGCAAGTGTTAGACGATGGTAATAACTTTGTGTGGAGACAAAAGCCCTCTAGACAGTTTACTGCAGCACAAGCTAGGGATCAGACTGTGTTGAGTCAGTATGTGAGGAAAGACAGGGCCTATTCCTTTATGAAAAACATTCGTGCAGCGTATCACCAGCGTACGTTTTATGATTTGTTAGCCATGATACGTCACCAACATGGTTTTTTCACATTGTCAGCAGCAGACCAGGTGTCCATTACACTGATGATGAGGTTGCAGCATTGTCATTTGACGAGAAATCCAATTGGATAAAGCGTAACCCTATTACTGCAGCGAAGCATTTTCATTACAGACTATATGTATTTTTCCCAAACTTTTTGAAATCAACTGCCAAACCCCTAGGTGAAATAGTCGACTATGCCATCAGAATAGAGTTTCAGGCCAGAGGTTCTCCACATGCACACTGTGTCATATGGGTCAAAGATGCTCCAGAGTTTGGTGTAGATAACAGTGATGATGTGTGTGACTTCATTGACTAGTATGTCTCATATAAAGTCCCAGCTGAAGATGGTGAATTGAAAGACCTTGTACTCCTCCTTCAAAAGCACAAACATTCCTCATATTGCAGGAGAAACAAAACCTGTCGATTCAGTTTTCGCCAAAACCCTCATTACAAAAGATGATCCTGAGAGTGGCAACAATAACCAGGAGTTGGCTCTGCTAAGTAAAGTACAAAAGATGATAGCTGACGGTAACACAGATTTGAGCCTTGCTGAGTTACTTGACAAAGCAGAAGTGGTTGTAACCAGTTCTCCTGACACCTGCAAAGATTGCATCTTAGCACCAACCAATACCAAAACTTGAGCAACAATAGATCCATCACAAAAATCATAGAAAGTGTAGGCTAGGGGGACCATCGGCGGCAGGGGGGGACCATCCGCGGTGCCGCGGACGGTCCTAGGGGGATCGATTTTTCTGCTGTGGACGGTCCGGGGGGACCGCTTTGGGGGGGACCAATTTTCGTGTGACAGATATATACACACGAGGTTACGTAGTAGAGTAGTACGCTTGAATGGGTGGGTGTGGCCTTAATTAGTAAGCGCGCATCGCGTGGAGTGATTTTGGGCGTGGCCGGAAGTCGCCTCGCGTCAGGTCCGTACGTACACACCAGTTGATCCCTAAAATCTATTGGTCTCTCTCTTATAGTTCGCAGAGAGTCTGACACGGGCTAGCTACAGTAGTAGATAGTTGCAGCAGATTGTTGCAAGTGTATATATGCGGCGTTTTGGTGGTCCTCGCTGCAAGAAGGATGCAAGCAGAAGAAATGTACTGGGAATGTAAGCAGCTAATTTGATAGATAGCATTAGGATTCATTTCGGCATCTATTTATACCACAAGAACTGGGGCAAACCACGTGAACCAATCAATAATAAAAGATGATTTACAACCTACTTATGTTGTTAACCCCCAAAGCACAACTCTCTACATCGACTGGCATAACACTTGCGACACTAGATAACCAGCCACCCAACCAAGCTTTGGCTTTGCCTGAAAGTCATACAGGTATGTCTACAACATCAACAAAGGAGAGTGAAACCCTCTCGTGGTGATGGGAACTGCCTCTTTAGAAGCTTTTCCTTTCAATTATTTGGGTCCGATCATGGGCACATTGCTGTGCGCACTGCTGCTATATGGTTGGAAAACATCAACGAAAGTGCCTTTAAACAAAGCAACTATGGCAGAACACATCCAACACGTTCAGAGGCTAGGTGTCTTCGGCACACACAACGAGATTCTAGCCACTGCAACCTGGTTCAACATACCGACATTCTACTGTTGCTTGAGTGATAGAGGGCAACAGTACAGTTTTCACTGCATAGCACCTCTCCGGCAGCAATGGTTGCTCACTCCGATCTCAGTGAAAACCCGGTTGAAGACGCTTCCCCTCCCACTCACTTTGGGCTGTTGTACATCCACAACGTACACTACGACAGCATCATGTCTGCTACTGGAGATCTGTGTACAGACTTTCCTACACTGAGCAGAGAACAAATCTACGTAGACCTATCATGATACTTTGTCTTTTCACTCATCCCTCGGTCGCGTGGTCGCGGTGTGTGTTCGCGAGCAGCAGAGGTGCATCGGCGATACCAGTTATGGATGATGATCCAGATATATCTTGGTAGACCAAGCTTCAGAAGAAGGCCGTTATACCAGAGAGTGTTGAATGCCTTCTTCACATCAAGGAATGCCAGGAATGCCTTCTGCCTCTGATTGCGAACATGCCGAATTGCCTCTTGTAATATAAAAGCTGTATGCATACAGCTCATCTTAGGCCTGAAAGGGATGGATTTGAGCTGCAGGAGATGGCAGTCGGTTTAGGATAAGTTTCCAAAACACTTTACTGATGGTGGAGAGAAGTGTGATGCCGCGGAAATTGGAGGGGTTTGATAAGTCAAACTCCCTCTTCTTAGGAATGGGAACAATAAGGTCGTGTTGAAAGGAGGATGGGACGAGGCCTGAGTATGGCATTCAAGATGGTAGCGAGAATATCAAATACTAGTGGATGGGCGAATAGTAGATGTTCATTGCAGAGGTCATCACGGCCAGCAGCTTTCCCTTTAGTCAAGGATGATACTACACGGGCAGTTATGACGTACAGGAATTCTAGAGCCTGTGATTTCTAACTGATATCTTGATTTCCTACTGATTTTCAAATTTCCACGTGATTTTCGGCTAATATTTTCAGATTTCTATCATTTCCTAATTTCCTAATTTCTGCGTGATTTCTACTGATTTCCAGTGATTTCTGAATTGATTTCTCGGTCTCTCCTCTCACTGTACACTACCTCAAGAGAATTTCCCTTACTGGCATGAACAGCAGTAATGTGCCACAGAACACTGTGGCCTACTGTCGTCAGCGCACAAGAGAAATCTAGGTTATAGAAAAGAACCACTGGAAAGAAAAAACACTGAAGTGGGCGCACTGTGACGCGCATGCGTAAGTAAACGCATGCGCCGTACCACTAATTGATGGGCTGGGTTTAGTTTTAGCTGTTACTCGTGGTCTCTTGCCAGCTCGCGCAGAGTCTGACGCGGGCTAACTACACTACTAGATAGCATGCGAGAGGCGATACACGCCCTGCGTTGCATCTTCTGGTGTCTCCGAGGTACGCAGAGTACGCGGATCGATCATGCCGTAGTAAGCCGTTGTGTATTTGCATATTGGCTTTTTCGCGCTCTAGCTTTGCAACGGAGCGTTTTCAGAGAAAACCGTTCGAAATTTCTGACCTTCATTGCCCGTTCAGTAGGTGGTATCCTTTGTGAGACGAACGAACACTCGAGAAGTGAGATGACGAGTAACAGACAGACACACACACAGACGACCCAACTACAGTAACCCTCGCTGCGCATGCGCGCCGAGGGTTAATCAGTAGAAATCGCGCTGGAATCTGGAAAAGTCAATACGGGCGCTTTTAGAAATCGCGTATATAGTACGTCATAACCCCGTGTCATTGTTGGATGTACACTCTCAGCAGACACTTTTGTATGTTAGGTGTCCACAGCGCAGAGCATCCCGGTGCTCGCTAGTCTACCCACGTGGTAGACCCGTGCATGGTGGATACACCTGCCGTAGGTGTCGACAGCCAAGAGCAACTCGGTGCACGAGCCGGCTTGTCTACGGGGTACCTGGACACCGATCATCAGAGTACTCACCCGAGGCTGCTGGGGACGCAGCTGATGAGGGAGGGACGCAGGCGCCTTCGCTCGTTGATGCCGAGTCTCCGGCCGCGGTTGCCGCTTGGGTAGCCATCAGTTGGCCTATGTAGCCCGGGGGGAAATGGTGGCCTCGTCAGCTCCCGCGCCGTCAGAGGTGCCAGCAACTGTAGACATCACGCGAGAGTAGAGATACGAAGAGGGCCAGACGCTGAACGACGTGAAGAAAAAACAACGGCACGAGAGCCCGATCTTATGCCAACGGCTGGATCTGGCAGCAATGGCGACCACGCGGTTGGTCATCCCAAATGCGCGCCCGCCTCCGCAGCCGAGACAGCGCATGCTCCCAGCTACCGCCCCGGGCGCCGCCGGTTCTCTCATTAACCTCGGTTAATCTACCATTAACCGTCATTTATCATGTATGTCATACTGTTCACAGTTATGTAATCATTCTTCTCTAGCTGTTCTAGAACCTTCTAGAAACTAATCACATGATTTCACTCGCCTATAAAGCTGTGTGTTGTTTTATTGTAAGGTTCACTCGGCAAAATAATATTCTTGAAAGCCAACAGGTTATGGGCCCAGTCTAAAGACCTAACAGTCGATTACGCTCGTGAATTTGTCTGCAGAGTTCAAGAATGGCCGAGTCAAAGACCGTGGCCGTTGTGCCGCTGAACCGTACGAACTACGCCACGTGGAAGGTGCAGTGCAAGATGGCACTGGTTAGGGAAGGACTTTGGGGAATTGTAAACGGAACCGAAGAGGCTCCCACTGAGGGAGGTGAACAACTAGCAAAGTTTAGAGCTAGACATGACAGAGTTCTCGCGACTATTGTGTTAGCTGTCGACCCTAGCCTCCTGTATGTAATTGGCCCTGATCCGACAGACCCGGTAGAAGTCTGGAAGGCCCTGGCAAATCAATTTCAACGCAAGACGTGGGCAAATAAGTTGGATCTCAAACGGAGGCTCTTTTCTATGAGGCTAGGAGAAGGAAGCTCGATGCAAGACCATCTGAAGTCGATGACCGAGGTGTGCGAAGAGCTGTCCGCAATCGGTGAGCCTGTGAACAATGAGGATCGTGTCGTTTATCTTCTAGCGAGTCTACCCGAGAGTTACAACGTATTAGTATAAACTGCTCTAGAAGCTAACGCGGAACTGGACGTAGTAATGGAACGCTTACTGCATCACGAGGCTAAAGTGAAACAGACAAGCTCACAGGAAGGGGCGGCACTCACTACTCGACTCAAGAGATGTTACTTCTGCAGGAAACCTGGACACTTCAAGAAAGACTGTGAAAAGTACGCAAAGGTCAAAGATCAAGGGAAGTCGGCAAAGAGCAAGAGCAAGGGCAAGGGAAAAGTAGGAGCGTTCAAAGTGACCATCACAGCACAAGATGAGAGTTCAACTGAGAGCGAGGGTACTGGGCTTGTGGTACAGCATGCCTTGTCCACTGACGGAAGGATCAACGGCGAGTGGATTCTAGACTCTGGAGCAACGTGCCACATGTGCAACAAGCAGTCGATGTTCAATGGCCTACAAAGTGTCACCCTTGGAGATGGTCGTGATCTCAAGGCCACTGGACGTGGAAACGTAGTCCTGACAATGAATCTACCCCAAGGCAACACGAAGACCTGCACTCTTCATGATGTACTCTTGGTTCCCGACCTGGCCTACAACTTACTCAGCATAACTGCTGTCTCCAAGAGAGGGAAGGTGACCACATTTACGCAAGTGGGGTGCGAAATAAGAGATTTCAAGTCCAAGCTAGTTGCCTCTGGACACAGAGAAGGGAGTCTATACTATCTAGATCACGGAGGATCTACTCATTGTGCGTATCTGAGCAACAGCGCTATGGGAACTGTCTGGCATCGTCGTCTTGGCCATCTGGGAAACGCAGGAATGGAAGCACTGGCCAAAAACCAAATGGTCAGTGGATTGGATATTGACTCCAAGCAACAACCAGAGTTCTGCGAATCCTGTGCGAAAGGCAAGAGTCATCGGCTGGCATTTAAACACTCCGTCAAAACAAGGGCAAATCATCCACTCGAGTTAGTGCACAGTGATGCGTGCGGGAAGATTGGAACCCGATCGCTGGGCGGGGGTGAATACTTTGTTACCTTCACTGATGACCTCACACGACCGAGTCTTGGTTGACAGGTACAACAGGCTGCCAACAATTGCTTGATACATCTGCTGGTTCAACACATCTTTTGGGTTCTCAGCTGCCACTAGCTTCAAATCCGGGTTGACTGGTGTGCTGACCGCCTTGCAATCGTGCATTTTGTACCATTGTAAAATCTTCTCTGTATACGAGGGTTGCCCAATCTCCACGTTGCTGGAATCATGCACTGCACCTGTCAACCAAGACTCGGCCAGACATCTCATACGCAGTGAGCAGCGTGGCTCGGTACTGTGCAGAACCCACCCAACAGCACTGGGTTGCAGTTAAAAGAATACTGCGCTATCTGAAAGGAACAAGCAACTATGGGCTGAGTTTCAAGAATAACAGTGGAAGCGAAATCACTGGCTACTCTGATGCAGACTGGGCAGGGGACACAGGAGACAGAAAGTCCACCTCGGGATACGTGTTCATACAAGCTGGTGTCGCTATAAGCTGGAAGAGCAGTAAACAGAAGTGTGTGGCCTTGTCCACTGCAGAAGCCGAATATGTCGCACTGTCAGCAGCCGTCCAAGAAGCCATATGGCTACAGCAACTTACGAGCGATCTCCTTAACAAGAATATTGGAGAAATGACTGTTCATGAAGACAACCAGTCCACTATCTCCCTTGCCAAGAATCAGCACTCACACGGCGGAAGAACAAAGCATATTGACATAAAATACCATTACATTCGTGATATGGTGGAAGCAGGACGAATCAAACTATCGTACTGTCCGACTGAGGACATGATCGCTGATATACTGACCAAGGGACTTTCGATGAAACAATTTGAGAAACTTCGTGAACTTGCTGGAGTAACTGAACTGATCTACTGAGATTGAGGAGGAGTGTTGGATGTGCACTCTCAGCAGACACTATTGTATGTTATCATGTATGTCATGTGCAAATACTGTTCACAGTTATGTAATCATTCTTCTCTAGCTGTTCTAGAACCTTCTAGAAACTAATCACATGATTTCACTCGCCTATAAAGCTGTGTGTTGTTTTATTGTAAGGTTCACTCGGCAAAATAATATTCTTGAAAGCCAACAGGAGGCCAGGTATCAGAAACATCCAACTTCCGGAACGCTACATCGGACGACACATGCAAGCTTTGTGGTTCCACTTCCGCTGAGACCGCTTCTCACTTCACTGCCCACTGAGTGTCCCGCCCTCTCGTCAGTGCGCAACCCCCGCAGTCTCATCCCTCTGTTAGTCTCTGACTCTCAACTGTTCGTGGACTACGTTCTCGGCACCGTGTGGGTTGACGACCCACTGTTTCAACAAGAGGTTATAGTTCTACACCATCTTTACACAGCCCGCCTCGACCAACTGTCAGCTGCTGCATCTTCATTGCCCACTCAATAGGCTACTCTCCTTTAGTGGAGGTTACAAAGAAGAAGAAGAAGAAGTCATTGTTAGAGGACCCACAATAAGCAAGTTATAGGCACAAGCATCTCGGACCCTCCTTCGCCCTGGAATTTCAGTTACCCCGGATTGTTGTAGCCACGCCCTTGCTCCCCCCAGCATTAGCGGTTGTTTACTCATGTGAGCCACGCCCCTCACTTCAGAACCACACCCTGCTTCAGGTGTTAGCTAGGTTATGGAGGATCGAGCCCGCCGCGTCCTTCGGGCCAATTTGGCCAAGATAAAGGAGTCAAAGTTTGATCCTGTCTGGTTAGCAGAGGAGCTGTTTGTGGTCGCAATCGTTGGAGAGGAGGAAAGAGTAGCTGCTAAGGATGAAACGGTTTCCAAACAGCACCGACGGGACGAGCTGCTGGACTTGGTTATGGGGAACGGAGGGGAGAGCGTGTTCCAGACCTTCGTGAATATATTATCCAGCAAACGGCACATGCATTGGCTTGCTATGGATCTAAAAGGTTCGGATACCGCAGTGTTGGTGATAAGAGTCTCTTGGGGTCGAAAAGGGGGCGTGGCACTAGCGTTAGACAAAAGAGGGCGTGACCGCTTGGTTATGACTAAAATGCTACTAATTTTTGTTCTGGATGTGCATGATTGACCATGCTCTGTGCCTCTAGTTCCGTGAACGTGTGTAGGGCCACCCCCTAGCGCAAGCTGCACAGATTGCGCAAAATGCATAAGGGCATTCACTGTTCACAGCGAAAAAGTTCAGCATAGAAACAAGTGTTAATGCATGGGCCCTATTGCGTGCCATGTTTAGTATATAAAATTTCTGAATGTAGCCCCTTCAACTGATTGCCTGTGGACGGCTTATCACGACGAAATGAGGTTCAAAGAAGTGGTAGTTTGGAAAAAAGTAGTCTTGCGGAGCCAGCCCTTCTCTAACAAAAGAGAGGTGCTGGCTTTGCAAAACTAGGGGAAAAGGAGAAAAGAAAAAGCCAACATATATTATACATAGCTGCAGTCACTTACACGAAGAACTTGTAATGTGCACGTGTGGAGAGAAAATTGATTCCATGTGCAATACGTACTTATTAGTCACCCGATTTTACATAATTGTTACCACGACCATATTGGGGTGATCTGTGATTTCCGCATTCCTCCATCATTAACGCTAGGTGCGCATGAGCAGCAAGGGTTACAGAATACCTAGTCTATCTGTCATTCGGTTTGTGTGTTTGTTTGTACTACATGCTACCAGGTGGCACTAAATCGATACCAACGGCTTCAGAACTACGCAAGCTTGAAAACTGAAATGGAGTTTTTCCCGAAACTGCTGCGTTTGAGATGTGCCTTGAAAACAAGCGATATGCATAATCGCACTGGGCTTATCTCGACCTGATCCACTTGCTCTGTGTACATACCTTGGAAGCACAAGAAGGCACAAGAAAGGGCATGTATCGACTCCCGCACGCTATCTACTATAGTGTAGCTATCCGGTGTCAGACTCTCTCTGTGCTTCTAGCGTGGAGACCAGGAGTGAACACATATTCATAGCCCAGCCCATCAATTAGTGTACCATGAATGTGCATGCAGTGCATTGAGGGTTTGTACTTTAGTGCTTTTAATGCATAAAGTGCTTGTTTGCGTCATGTGGGAGGTAGTGTACCTGTTTTTGATGCTGGAGATTAAAACTACATGTTTACAGATGAGTTCCTGAGGCAAGGAGGAGTGTGGATGAAGGAAGAGCCACTCAGGATATCTGATGATATACCAGGTTTGTATAGTGTAACAAAACTGCAAACTGTTGCAGTGCATCTTTAATACATCAGCGAAAGTCATCATCAGGTCTTCAAATGCACTAAATATTTACACATACCTTATTATTGTGTTGATGTCTGATATTATGCATTGGATTCTGACCTGAGTAAGAATGTGTTAGAGCTACATTCTATGCAGCATTTTACGGTTGTTCCAGAGTAGAGTCCATGGCCAAAGGGGGTTTTGCATACTACAGTTTATGTAATACAGACGTAGACCAAGGTGGGTGCATGGGTGTTTCTGTGAGTAAAGGTTTGCTATATGTGAATACCTTTGACCAACAGTTATTTTTTAGGTCAATGCTGTGTATTTTGGGGAGTGGGAGCGAGCAAAGTCTTCCATAGACTGCGAGCTAAACCAATCTCTCGTTCTTCCACTGTCTCGAAAGCATAAAGCTGTGTCCTCCGTACTCTACCTGCAGCTATATAGACATGTCTTCCACTTTCTCCAAAGCAAGACGTCTTCACCCAGCTCTTCCTGTAGCTTGACGTGTCTGTCGTTCTTCAGCTTTCTCCAAAGCAATATGTCTTTGCTGAGCTCTTCCTGCAGGTAGACGTGTCTATCATTCTTCCACTGTCTCGGAAGCAAGACGTTATCTTCTCCGAGCTCTATCTGCAGGGCAGACGTGTCTCTCACTCTTCCACTGGAAGACACTGTCTTAAGGTTTCTTTCCCTCTCTTGGATACAATAATGCTGATGTCTACCTAGTCGGCACTCAGATGTGATTTATTGCTTGCCTTTGGAGATCGTTGCTTTCAGGGAGAAGACGAGATACGTAGACTTTGAGTCACGTGGCTCGCAGCATCGCGTGTGCACGTTAATTCAGTGTTTCCCGCAGGGTAATACTCAAACAGGGTGCTTATGAATTATAATTACCTCAGCTTTCTGGCTGAAAAACATTACTTGCTACTCATGTTTCAAAGCACTTCCTGTTGGGAAATCCCCTACTTGCCTAAAGCCTTTCAAGTGCTATATACTCTATACTCAGCGCAACTGTGCACAGTGTAATCGCATTTTATGCATGCGCAATAATTGTACACGCCATTTTCGGGCTTTTTCAATCCGGGCGGAGCGCCCAGTAGTTAGAATGCTGCGGGAAACACTGCGTTAATTAACGTATTTTTTAAACATTATGTTGTGTGTGCCGACAGACCGACAGACAAACATACAATGTTGTATGGCATCGCCAGTTGTACACCTAGGTTTGCTCGCTTCTGCTTGCCAATGAAACCTCTGATATGTGACGTAGTATAATATGGCACAAATATAGATTTTACGCCAACCCTCCAAATAATAGAAACCTATTACAGATTCCTTTATTCCCGGTCATATTGACTTCTTGTTGAAGAAGCATTTTTCGAGATTCAGCTCTCTGTGTAAGTGGGCTTTACAGTTATCAAAAAGACAAAGACTGGGACAGACCTGCCTAATGTGCGATTAGGATTCTATTGTTCTGGAAGATGGCCTGCGTTAAAAGTCGTGAATGAACTAGAAGCAAGTGAGTTCCCAAGGTCCCATTCTCCTTACTACCACAAGGAATCTTATACTTTAAGAGAGAAAAGTGGTAGAATGTATTCGTGGCCAAACGGATGGTGCTGCTCTCTACATCGGGAGTTTCGAGAGAAGTAGGTGTGAAAAAAAACTGGGGAGAAAATCTGACCCACACACTAGAGAACTTCTTTTGACCCTAGAGAAACCGTTACCCTTAATTTTGTACCCCATCATAGAGTCAGGACTGTTACGTACCGTTATCTCTGAGGCCTCATTTACATTTTCTCTCTCATGGAGTGTATTCTCTTTCCTTCTGTACCTCTGTTACTTACACTTTGCTGGGTTCTGCAGCTTAGTTCGTCAGCATACCACAGTGATTTAGCCTATCTTTTAAATTACCAGCAAAAGTTCTTGTTTAGCAGAGTTCATCTCCGTCTACGCTCAGTCACTACCCGGCATCATACTGTCCATGACGTCACCACTCTTTGCTTTCAATTAGAACAGCTGAGAGAGTTTTCACCCTAGAGATGTCCCCAGTAGAAGTGCATGAGTAACACAACAAGGATAATTTTTGCATGCTGTTTTATTTTTGGGATCATTTTGCCATGTGATAAGTTTATTGACGAGCGCGTTAGCATGAGGCAACTACTCCGGGTTGTATTCTCGTGATATGCGTACGTACGTACGTACGTGTCGGCAATTAGGAATGTCAATTAGTCACCAAAGGAAGTGTAACTTCCGTCATTCGTAGGAAGTCTAGCTTCCGCCGTGCGCGCAGATTCGTAGGAAGTCTGGCTTTCGCGCGCAGTCAGTAGAGCGTGCGCACGAGCGGCCTCAGTCGGACTGTTTACGCATTGGCTGGCAGGCGCGAGGCAAAATATGCGCGTGCGCATTCCTAGTCTATCAAAGATTTACGACATAAAACCTCGGGTAGATTGACCCCTCTCGTCGTTTGTCAAGTTTTGGACACAGCGTGCTTTTTCCCCAGTTTATGACAACACGTACGTATTCTGTTTCAGTAACCCAATCTATTCTTTTAAGAAGGTAGAAAACTTCTTCACTTCAACTGCTTTCTGACTCCCAAAAGAGCATGATATGAATTTGGATTTGCAACATTACAGCTTAAACTTTAAGCCTTTCGGGCCTCCCTCCCTCCTACTCTGACCATTTCGTAAAACACACAACACAATAATTTTCTTGCAGAAACACATATGACAGTTGGACATGGGGTGTCACGAACAAAGGTTGATCTAAAGAATCCAACGACACCAGGATGTGCATGCACACCGAGGGTTACAGTACTTGGTTTGTCTGTCTGTCTGTCTGTCTCTCTGTCGATGCTTATTCTGGCACTACAGGCTACGAGGCGGCCTATTAGTGTTACCATCGGCTTCAGAACTACGCAAGCCTGAAAAGTAAGACAGCGATTTTCCTGAAACAACTGCGTTCGAGAGATATGCCGTGAAAACAAGCGAAAAAGCCAATATGCATATATAATCCCACTGGGCTTCTCGCTCTTGGAGGCTCAAGAAGTCACAACTTAGGGCGTGTGTCGACTCCCGCATGTTATCTACTTGTGTAGCTAGCTCGTGTAAGACTCTCCGCCAGCTACTAGTGTGGAGACCACGAGAGTACACGCATGCTCTTGGCCCCACCCATCAATTAGCGGTACTACGCATGCGCATTACGCTGAGGGTTTGCACTTTAGTGCTTTTCATTGAGATTGGACTTAAACTCACGACATTGTTTTTAGGCAGAGCACTGAGGAGCTCAGCCCGTATGCAATGCAGCACATAATACGAAGCAAAGCACAATATGTGCAGAGCTGAACACATTATCATTTACGTATGTGTTCTGTTGCTTTAATACCTTCAAAACATGAGTCTCGTCATGGAAAAAAATGCCGGTCATGAGATAGGTGAACTTCAGGTACATAAATAAAAGGGATGCAAACCTTTTCCCATTCTGCAACATCGTGACTATTCTGCAACTGAGAAACAATCGACCTCTGGTTTTCCACCATTGTCTTTGCGTTCCTCGTTAGTTAATATTGCGCGTTTTTCTCAAATGAGAACGGCAGTGTAAGACCTACCAGGAATCAAAACAGTGTCCATCAACAACTGTACGTACACAAAGGTAATCGATCGATTAGCTCGGCGTCACTAATGCCTTCCCTCTTCACATCAAAAAATCTTTCAGCACCACATCATTGGCTCTAAGAGCCCGTACAGTTCCATCAGCTAAAATGCATGTAACTGCCATGATGCATACGTTACACTTTCGAAAACTGCCACAGTTTCCGAGAACGACAATGGATGCACACTCTCACAGACCAACTACAGCAACCGAGGGATAATTATTGCTTAGTTTGCCAAATGTTTCCAACTCATGTGCAACTTTCATGTTCCTCTTCACCATATATGCTACAGTATGATCTGCCATTTCTGCTTATCTTTGAGTCCAGATCTATGTAAAGCATACAGTTTGCAGCTTTGTTTTTCTGAACTGACGATAACCCCAAGAATATGATTAGCGGCAATCCTTTAATGTTTGACAGTTTCTTGACTGCCAGTATGAATTGTTGAGGCAATCTAATTTTTCTTTGGTATGTTTTCGTTGATGAGATCACAGCTGATATGGCTGGTGTCCTGGATATGGCTAGAAGGCTGGTAAATTTCTGATAGCTTCATAAGAACTGAAGCGCGAAACGAATTTGGAAAGTGGAAGTGCTGAATTTGTAAAGTTTAAATGCAGTTACATAAAAAAAAATTCAGTAAGAAGGGATGGCACTGCTTGGCTTCTGTTTTGTATGTTTTTTCCAGAAAACATGGCTCTTGTTCAGTTTCCTTGTTCCACACTATTTGTGAGCGGGGTTTATAAATGCTAAAGTTTTGACTGCGCAGAGCTACTGCTACTCATGGCTCTTACAAGGAGGTAGCTACCTCACCACTTTAGAACCTTATGGGATGAATTTTAATATGCCAATGGACAAGAAAGACATTTTTCGAATTTTTAAAATTGCCTATGAGTTCCATACATTATTTAGGAGCCAGCAACCACTCTCCCTCTCCATCCATGAGGTCTCACACCATAATCTACTATCGTCCTCTCCTTCAACCCGTTTCCAAGCTCTCGCTCTGTCCTCGAGTTTGCCTCATGCCAGAGATTTGTTCAATGTTGTGTCATCTTAGCTTTTTAAGACCACGAGTTTCATTGCTACCTGCGATACTGGCGGGGATTCCCTCTCTACAACACTCCCTACTCCTGCCCTGAATGCCAAGGCACCACTGACCGATCGGGGGACCACCATGTTGGCTGTGGGGGCAACGGGGACCGAATCTCACGCCACAATGCCATGCAGGATGTCATCTTCTCCGCGGCCCAGTCGCCTGCTTTGGCACCATCAAAAGGAGACCCCTAGCCTGGTGCCCAGTTCCCAGTCAGGACCAGACTCCAAACTGGAGCCGGCCGTGCACGTCATCTCCCCACTTCAGCAGCAAATCATAGAAGAAGCAGCCTCTACTTCCGGCCATTCCCTTGTGTGCGCAGGCATGGTTACTATTATCTATTTTCAGGCAAAATTGGAACAGGACCTTTTGTCATATAAACAGGGTGGGTCTCTAATACATTTCTTGTGTAACTGTCGCTGCACTGCACCAGCTTTTGGGTGTAATTGACTTGTTTGCTTTGCCTTGCCTTTCTACCTGGCTATTTAGTGACACATATACCATATGTAGCTGTGGCATCTCCAAATTAATGTTTTGGTAAAAAACAGCTAGGGTAGGGAAGTTTGCAATAAACAACGTACATTATTTTATAATATAACCAGGCTCTGGAACATGTATGAGAGCACCATCGCCCTCTTGAGAAAGAAACATAATCATGTTGCTACGCTGAGACCAAACCCTCCCACCTTTTTTGACGGTCTAGTTTGACTTTGTTTGTTGTTCTTAATGCTTTTTAACCCTCGGCACGCATGCCCTGTGGGCATGCTCTCTTAGCAGTTTGACTCTCATAGATTGAATGTGGGTGAATTTGAGGCAAATATGATAACTTGTTTAAAACACAGTACTTTACAGCTAAGCTACTTCCTATCTTCGTTCCTTCAGCACAGCTGGCACTGGCCTTTCTGCGTGTGCTGACCATGGAGGTTCAGTCGTGAAAACTTAGTAGTTACGTAAACTATGAATATGCACATGCGCATTCATCAGCAGGTGGAGTGTATAGCGCGGTGCTGCACCACTCTTCCGCGCTTTAACGCTGGGTTCATAGATTGAAGACTGTTTTCATGAGAGGGAATGCATTTATCACAACTTCCAAGTATCACTAAGTACGGTAGTACTTAGTATATAGGGATGGGCATTGTACCTAGCATCATAGATGTATGGGGCTATGATAGGGAGTTTTGTTCATCTTCTCCTTCTCCTTCTTCTCCTTCTTCTTCAGATTCAACACCCATAACTCAAAAACGAAACAACATAAAGTAATGAAATTTTGTAAGAATGTAGATATCCATCACCCGTGGTCATACTTATTTCTTTGTAAACAACAACAAATAGCCCCTGGCAATAAATTATAATGGGATCACATGTGTCAGTATAACTCACAAATGGTAAGAGCTATGTGAACGAAACTTTGTAGACATAATGTATTCAATCACCAACATCAAAATTACAACAATACATGTTTGTAAACAACAACAAATAGCCTCAGGCACTTTTCTTTAAATTTACTTCGTCACTCTTCAAACTCTGCAATTCTAGCACACATAGAGATGAAACTTGGTATGTATATCATTTCCATGACGATTACATGTTTCCATGACGACAGCATCTTGTTTGAAAAAAGCCTCAGGCAATTTTCTTTAACACCACTTCTTCACTCCTCAAACTTGCTAACTGTAGCACGCATGGAGGTGAAACTTGGTGCGCATGTGTATTACATTGTTTCCATGACGACCACAACAACAAATAGCCTCAGGCACTTTTCTTTAAAATTACTTCTTCACTCCTCAAACTCGCTAACGGTACCACGCATGGAGATGAAACTTGGTACGCATGTGTGTAACATCGTTTCCATGACAACCACAACAACAAATAGCCTTAGGCACTTTTCTTTAAAATTTCTTCTTCACTCCTCAAACTCGCTAACTGTAGCACGCATGGAGGTGAAACTTGGTGCGCTATGTGTATTACATCGTTTCCATGACGACCACAACAACAAATAGCCTTTTCTTTCTTCACTCTTCAAACTTGCTAACGGCTGCACACATGGAGATGAAAAAACTTGGTACGCATACGTATTACATCATTTCCATGACGACAACAGGTATTTTCCTCTATTATTAATTTTTATAGGGGGCTTGCCCCCTTCCACAGAGATAATACGTAGTAGTATATAAAAATGAGTGGAGACAGGTAAATAAAAAATCCTGCGAATTTAAAAAAAGAGGCATATAGGGATGGTATAAAAAGAAAGGGAGACAAGATAGGGATGGGATACATGAAGCATGGTTTATGAACAGATTTGAGCATGCTGACACCCCCAACCCCATCACACAATCCTTATATTGTTGCCTAGGTAAAGTATTACACATTCACCATTACAATACTCAGACATTCTAATACAAAAATGTCATGCTACTGAGTAACCAACACCATTATAGAGTCCAAGTGGAGTTGAATTAAAGGGAATGTTGTAGTATAAATGTTACTAAAAACAACAGGGACACGGTGAAAGGATGCTTGCTTTTAGTAACCTTTAGCCCCTATAAGAGTAGCACACCAGGCAACAATATATAGGGATTGTGTGATGGGGTTGGGGGTGTCAGCGTGCTCAAATCTGTTCATAAACCATGCTTCATGTATCCCATCCCTATCTTGTCTCCCTTTCTTTTTATACCATCCCTATATGCCTCTTTTTTTAAATTCACAGGATTTTTAATTTACTTGTCTCCACTCATTTTTATATACTACTGTGGAAGGGGGCAAGCGCCTATATTTAAAAAAGAGGCATATAGGGATGGTATAAAAAGAAAGGGAGACAAGATAGGGATGGGATACATGAAACATGGTCAACGAACATATTTGAGCACGCTGACACCCCCAATCCCATCACACAATCCCTATATTGTTGCCTGGTGTGCTACTCTTATATGAAATGTAAACATTCACCATCAGAACTTACACTACACTACTGAGTAACCAACACCCTTATAGAGTCCAAGTGGAGTTTAATTAAAGGGAATGTGGCAGTATAGATGTTACTAAAAACGACAGGGACACGGTGAAAGAATGCTTGCTTTTGGTAACCTTTAGCCCCTACAAGAGTAGCACACCAGGCAACAATATAGGGATTTTGTGATGGGGTTGGGGGTGTCAGCGTACTCAAATCTGTTCATTAACCATGCTTTATGTATCCCATCCTTATCTTGTGTCCCTTTCCATCCCTATATGCCTCTTTTTTTAAATTCGCAGGATTTTTAATTTACTTTTAATATTTTTGAGTAGCTACCTATTATGCGATTTAAGCTATTTCTTGGATACGTGCTCTTTGTGACGATACAAATTAGTCTGATGTGTCAAAAGTTGGATCTGGAAAGTGAAACATGAAAATCTCAAATGTATGGGCATAATGCAGGAAAACCTGTGTCATCCCTATATACTAAGTACTACCGTACTTAGTGATAATGTATTCAATACCCAACATCAAAATCCCAACAATACATGTTTGTAAATAACAACAAATAGCCTCAGGCACTTTTCTTTAAAATTACTTCTTCACTCCTCAAACTCGCTAACAGTATCACGCATGGAGATGAAACTTGGTGCGCATGTGTATTACATCGTTTCCTTGACGACCACAACAACAAATAGCCTCAGGCACTTTTCTTTAAAATTACTTCTTCACTCCTCAAACTCGCTAACTAGTAGCACGCATGGAGGTGAAACTTGGTGCGCATGTGTATTACATCGTTTCCATGACAACTACAACAACAAATAGCCTCAGGCACTTTTCTTTAAAATTACTTCTTCACTCCTCAAACTTGCTAACTATAGCACGCATGGAGGTGAAACTTGGTGCGCATGTGTATTACATCGTTTCCATGACGACCACAACAACAAATAGCCTCAGGCACTTTTCTTTATAATTACTTCTTCACTTGTCAAACTTGCTAACGGCAGCACACATGGATGGTATGCATTTCATTTCCATGACGACAATTTTTTCTCTATCATTAATTTTTATAGGGGCTTGCCCCCTTCCAGAGATAATACGTAGTAGTATATAAAAATTAGTGGAGACAAGTAAATAAAAAATCCTGCGGATTAAAAAAAGAGTGCATATAGGGATCGTATAAAAAGAAAGGGAGACAAGATAGGGATTGTGTTTGTGGAAGCACAGAGATGCTAGCGAGGAGTTAGGACTCCCACAGGTCATTACAACAGCCCTATATCGTCGTACGGTGGGAGTACCTAGCATCATAGATGTATGGGGCTATGATAGGGAAAGTTTTCAATCTTCTTTGTAGGGTGGGAGTGGGAGTGATGAGAGAGTCTATAGAATATTGCTATAGGTAATGAAGTACTTACTAATTACCTTTGATAGATTTGTCATGTACATTCCATGGATGCAACATGGTGGAAACATGGAAAAATTGGTGTAACGCGTGCAAGAAAACAAAATTCAAGTATGCAAGTTGGCTGATATATTCACGAGGAAGTAGTAAGTCACCGATACGACGCTTATAGGGCTGTTGTTGGTTTGTAATGACCTGTGGGAGTCCTACTCCTCGCTAGCTCTCTGTGTTTCCCAACACACAATCCCGGATCTGTCTCCTGTTCTTTGTTCTACGATCCTATATGCACTCATGTAATGCGCAGGTCTTTTTTACTACTTTAGACGTCGGCAGATTCAAATTGACCAATCAGCTGCGTAAAACGTGAGTTCTCAAACCCGTATTTTCCAAGTGCGTGTATTCCTCGCAGGAGACTCAGCCCGCGCCAAAAACTGGCGTATCTTCGATGTTATGTGCAGCTTCGCGCAGAAGAACTCGCTCTGTCGCTGAGGAGCTCGCCGCGACGACGTCAAACTCGCTATATATTCCGATGCTTCTTCGCTGAAAGCTCTCTACTACGATGCAAAAATCACTAAAACTGAGACCTGTGAGCTTCCCCGGCCAGAGCGAGTCTCTTCGAGACGCGCGGAACTGGACGATGTGTAAGGCCGGCACGGCTCCGTCCTCTCAAACATGTGTTATACTGCTGTCATGGAAATACACGATTTAGACTGGCTCGAGGCCTAGTAGCGTCTCGCTGCGCTCACGACCAGCTACAGCTCAGGCCCTGCGCGTCTAAATCGCGTATTTCATGACGCGCAGGTATTAATAACCTATATGTGCATATATAATACAGAGCGTCGGTGCTTATTTATAGACGCTCTATATAGGGCATGACATACGAGTGAAATCTCACGTTGATCCGCGTACAAAACGCCTCAAACTCAGCGAGAATGGCTCACCATGGCTTCAAAATCACTAGCAATAGTCTAGAGGCCAATACCTAGCTATACATATGCCCCAAGACTTCCTACGTGCCCTCAGTTCCCCACCAGAGAATTCGCACTTACGCGATTTCGCGATTTTCCGTGTCATCATCATAATAATACATATTCTTCATCTTCTTCTTCGTCAAACCCGCTAGCTCCTTACCGGAAGCAGTTGAAGCGTTGGTTTTTTCACAGAACGTCTCCAAATTTCCGGAGGTGTGCACGCATATCAAGCGATCGCTTGTTTCTTGCCGCAAGTCACTACGGTAGATCATTGAGCTCTTCCACGGTAGTCACTGAACAACGCCATTTGCTGCTAACTCAGCATCAGTGAGCCGCATGCGCCGAGGAGGGCGTTTCCCCTTCCCCAATGCGGTGCGCGCGCATTTCGTGCGTGAACCTGGTGCACGAGACTAAGCCAGGATGCCTAGCCTGCAGAGGAATTCTTATCCTCCAGTGCCTTCTGTAAGTCAGTATAACACATTTTAACGGCTAGCTTGCGTTTAGGCTGTTGATTTGCACGAGGAGCAACTTGGCCGTGTGCGCCGTGTTACGCGGGGCCTTGCACAGCGCCTTCATTCTTTGTCCCCCAGGTTTATAGCTATCATTATAGTATGATTACTGAAGCCTGCCTATGAACACACCCCACCATATGTGCCACAATCTATTGCATCCTTGTTGGAGACACTACGCATACACCCTGCTTTCAGGTAGGAGCAGCCCATTAACTTCTGCTTTCAACAGTTATCTCTACAACACCCATGAACATCAGAGTGACTGAAAATGCAGTGTTGTCATAAGGCGTGAAAAATAGTGGAAACAAGTGGAAAAATCATTTCTTCAAATGAAAGGGGGATATAGGGATGGTTTGAAGCACCAAAAAGGAAGAAACAAGGGGTTATTACACAGCAAAGATGCAACAAAGCTACATGACAAACCATCCCTATATCTTTGTGTTATTGTTCACACCAATCTCGCCCTGCTGACATTTTCCTCCCTAATTGGGAAAGAGCCGCGCTTGACGTCTCCGTCATTTCCACTCTGCAACAGTTTACCTGAAGTAAAGTTTAATATCAGACAAAGATATAGGGATGGTGTCATGTAGCTTTGTGCATCTTGCTGTGTAATAACCCCTTGTTTCTTCCTTTTTGGTGCTTCAAACCATCCCTATATCCCCCTTCATTTGAAGAAATGATTTTTCCACTTGTTATACTAGTACTACCGTACTTAGTGATAGATGGTTGGTATATAATAGGTATGACATGGTCTGCACCACCTGACACCACAGACAATGCTACTGAACTGCATAACAAATCAGCTCACTGACTTTTCAGCAGGGAAAGTCACGCTGTTGAGATCGAAGCCGAACACGCTGTTCAGCGAGCATGTCTCAGTGACGGTTCCACAGTCCGGCCGTCTGCTACGTGGGAATCGGCGTAGACACTCCTCAGCATCACCACTGCGGCCCCAGGCCAGTAGAAATACGAGCAAGATGACAACCTTCATTGCACTCACAGCACCGTACCGAGTGATAGAGTTGAAACAGTGCGGAACGTTTTGTTCTGAAAGGTCGTCTTATCACTGCCTTGCACGAAGTGAAGCCACAGGCCACATGATGCCCTGAACTGGCGCCACCTCATATATAGCATTATGTGTAATGTGTCGCTATGCGCCCAAGACCGGCTAGCACTTAGACTCATCTTTACCTCAACTAGTGTTACAGTGAATACAGCTATATTTTTCTAGTAGCCATGAGCTTCCTTGGATGAGCCTTGTCCAGCATGGGATTGATTAGCGCTGCTTTCAACCTCTCCTTGTAGAGTGCTTCTTCTCTTGCAGCCATCTCCAGCTCTCTGAACATCTTAGCCGCCTCTTGTTGAGCTCTCCTCTGTTGATAGGCCATCTGGTCCCTCAGACTGGCCTGGTACTGTGCGTTAGCCTGGTAGGACGAAAGGATATGCATTGGATATGAGCATAAACTAGATCAGTCACAGACTACGTAACAGGTCACTAGCTATGGAATTCACCCATTACAAGTTTGAACACAGGTGCAGAGCTATCTACAACCATGAAACACTGTTGAAATGCAGGGTATTTTAAGAAGCAGACTCTATTTCTAAACAGAGACTGTATAATATGGAAGACGTAGAAAATCAAAGATGGAGTGTACTCTCAGTGCCAACCATCAGGTTACAGCTTCATCTGCAAATACTGTATCTGATCCTACCCTGATAATACTGATCCTCTGAGCTACATGCAAGTTTTTATAAGCTACAACCCTGATTGCCTACATGTGCACAAGACATAGGCATGACACATGTGTTTTGCCAAACCCATTTAAGCCCAACATACATGGTGCAACTTATCTCATGCAACATGCTCCATGAGCCCCATGTACGTTGAGAAAGTCTTGAGATTTTTGTTGCATGCAAGTTGCATGGAATAGACTTTTTCAATGCAGCAATTTGCACGAATGTTGCACGCAACTTCTGCCAAACATACGTGACACAACTTCTATGAGACTATAAGACAAAAGCTATATACGTGCAAAGTGGTGCCATGTATGTTAGGCTTTAATGTGCACTTCTTTTTAAATAGCAGCAGTAAAACCCCTGACACCAGGGTCTGTGCCTATTTATGTCCTGCTTTCCTGTTGATCTTTCTCAATCTGCAAGTGCTGCTTGTAGTTAGCAATAAGTGTGTCTCTCTCAACTGCAGCCGCTTTTTTCTCTTCTTCCAATACAGCCACTATTATTCAAACAGAGCCAGGAGTGGATCGCAATATGTACATTTGCCTGTTAGCAGAGCTTACATTTCTCCTTTATTTGTTGTCTGCGCGTTTTCAAAAACATCATCCATGAGTTTTCGTCTCGCTTCTCTTTCTTTGCGCCACTGCTGCGTTATTTTGGCCAACTGTTTCTCAACCTCTTCACTGAGAAGAGAGTCAAGCTCCTGCTCACGCTGTCTCTCCTCCCTCTTTGCCTCTGCTAGATAGCTACGGTAGAGCTGTATCTCTTCCTTCAGAGTGTTCTGTACAGAAAGGCAACATGTATGCATAGATTATGTGCTCATCCATAATGGTAAGTGCCCGCTTCATGTGTCTATAGAAAGGTCTCAAGATGCAGTGTGTAAACTGAACCTTTTTCTGAAGGTGCAGCATGGCTTCATTGGAAGTTTCATGAAGCATCTGTTCTAACAGTTTCATGTCTAGAGCCAGCTCCTCCTGAATATCGCTTGTCTGTTAAAAAACATCCTTCGTCATTACACATGTTTATGGATGGATCACTATTTTGAAAAATTGAAAGAGTGCAGACCTTATTTTTCTATTTTTCATCTTCAACTTGAGAGAGTAGTCCAGGTCACACTTAGTCTCAGATTGTCTGCAGCGTTTCTCCTCCTTCTCCCTTCGTTCTTCCATAGCTCTCAATGCATTCTCTTCTCGCTAAAAAATGTATTTTATTTCGTTTGAGCGCAGCGAATTAGACAGAAAATATAATCTCCCATAGTTTTTGGGGAGGCGCGCATGCGCTGATGATTGCGCTGCGTGGCGACGGTCGCGAAGGTACTATAGTGGAAATGTTGAACATTGTTGGCGAGCGGGAGCGACCCAACTTGGGATTTGCCCGCGATGTTCGGGCTGCATAACCTTCCGTCAGCGCACAGCTTTCCTTTCGTGAAGCAAGACAGATCTACCTGTCGCCGTTACATGCGTACTGTACATCGGCAGAACGGTATATACTTACCTTATGCTTTCGAGAGACGCCGTGCGAGCGGAAGACAAACGGAGCTTCTGGAGAGGTTCTTTCTCACGAAAACCCAGGTACTCCGTATTCTAGTAGGAAGCGGTGCATGGCTACAGGGCCCTAGCTACAGCTCGCGCCCAGCGGCCCCTCCTACTTTCGCGTGGCGAGCCGCGCCGCCTAGAACAAACACTCTGAGTGTTGGTATAGTCGTTGTTGTACGCCTGCTCGAACTGGCTTCCAGTTCGTCCTCAGCAAAAAGCTCTGACCCCAGTAAGCCGTACATCCTCTATGCAGCGTGCGTTGTTGTGCGTTGCTATAGCGCTGTAGTCTAAGATGGTTAGATGCGTTGCCTGCCTTGGGAACTACGCGATTTAGTGAGCCTCGGGGCCCTAGTAGTGGCGCGCTCGCCCCTGGGCCCGCCCTCGGCTCACTAAATCGCGTAGTTCCCGCGGCTCCGCATCTAACCTATAGATACAAGTAAATTAAAAATCCTGCGAATTAAAAA